ATCTTATTTCCATTTTTGTCTCCCTCAATGTATTTTTCACACTGCAGACAAACCATTCTTTCTAAAGTGTACATCTAATTATGTCATTTCTAAGCTTAAATCTCATTTCAGGCTCAGAGCATTAGCCCTTGTTATTTCTTCTACTTTTTTTTTTATCTTCATCCAGATCTTTGTGTGATTGCCTGATTTTCATTATTGGGAACTCAACTTGAATTGCGACTTTATTATTATTTTTTCATTAGTAAAGACAATATAAATAAATAAAGTATATTTCTATGGGAAAACTTCTCTAGCTTCCTGTTAGTACCATCAGAAATTTCCGAATGCTCAGACCTCAATTTTTACTTAAGAAGCTTTTATCCCACAGTTCTAAGAGTCAAGTCAACTTCCCTGAGTTTGCTGCATTCAGTCTGTCTCTTATGTGCACAAAAGATCCAAGTATAACTTTGAATGGTGGACTCCAAAATTGCTAATTCATTTGCTTTTATCTCATCTGTAGGCATGTTTCTTTCTGGTTGGACACAATACTAGTCCACTTTCAAAGCCTATATTTTTACACCCAATATTGCAAGACTGATAATTTACTGAAACTGCTGGTTAAAAGCATGCCAGTGTTTTGTTTATATACTACATGTAAAGTTTTCTTGGGCTATTATTTTTATAGAAAGATCAGGTAAGCTAACGGTATAAAAACTTTTCCTTTGTTTTTCCTTTGGTATACTCTTTGTTCCCTGTGTAGATGTCTTTCTTTCTTTGACCAGATTGTACAGAAAGGAACAGGTTCTAGGTAACTTGCTTGAGTTTTATATGACTACCTGAACAAGCATAAGGTTATAGAAAATTTAGAGCTTAGCATTGCTATAAGAATCTGGGCTAAAAAATAATTTTCTGGTGAATCAGTTCATGATTTCGACTGAACTGAAATAGGAGTGTGTTCTGGTAACCTTCCTTCTTTATTTATAACTCACACCTTAAAAATTGAACTATACTTTCCACCCTTTACCTGCACTTAAATGAAAACACAAACAACTATTTTTCATGCAGATGTTACGGTTTCATTAGCATGATCTAGGAGTAATGTAAATAAAATACTTTAAAGCAGAAGTTCCAGCAATTCAATGACTATTAATTACACCATGACTATTATACCATGTATATAACAATTTGTTTAATTTAAAATCTTGGTCCTATATTTTGGAATGATTAAATTATTGAGACAAGAATTTCCTGTCTATTTTAATATGTTATTCATAGGGACCAGCAAGTGAGGTGATGGTTAAGGCACTAGACATTCCCACATGGCCGACCAAGGTTTGAGTCCCAGACCTGGTGGTTTGCTTTCTCACTTTCCCTTTCTCTCTCTCTGTGTATCTCTTTCTGGTCATATTAAAATAAGTGAATGAATAAACAAAATTAAATAAATAATTATTTAAAAGAATTGATTCATGTAAATTTTGGCACCCATCTAAGTAATAAAACTCCCAGTAAACTGTTTTGTATAACCACAGAATCAAAGTTATTTAGAGACTCCTTAGCCCCATTGAAAGTTATTTTATTAGTTTATTTCTAGTTAGAGTTGTTTGCCTTTCATTCAGGTAGTTAAAGAGTTTAGAGTTTTCCTTAGTCAAAACAGCAAAATCAGTTGCCCACACTAATGCCTAAAGGTATTTGAATGGACAAAGTAGAGTGGCTACAGTAATCTCCAGTCCCCAAACTATCACAAATTCCATATCAAAGTGCACAACCAAAACAACAGATTTATGAGTTAGGTTTTAAAATACAATTTGAACTTTGTGGCTACTAAAATTTCCTATTAGTTTGGGGTCAGCAGATGGTGTCACAGTTACGTCGCTGGACTCCCACATGGCCAACTGCGGTTCAAGTCCCAGACCTGATGCCTTCAAAATCACACTGGTGCATGTGTATGCATGCCCAAGATCCCAGGAGGAGAATAGAGGAGGAAGGATTGTGGAGTGGCCATCCCCTTGGGGGGTGATTTCTCAATTTCTCGCTCACTTGTCTCTGTCTCTCTCTGATGAGCACATGTGCCCTAAGGTTAAAACCTCTTTAAAAATTAAAAAAAAACTCTTAGGCTATTACATAAACTCCTTCCAACAATCTTTTTTTCATGTTCTGCAATTTCAACTTCAGCTGTTCTTTCTACCTAAACCCACTCCACCTCTTCAGTATTTTCAGTTACTTTGATGGACTGAAGCCTTTTATTTTTGAGCTCTGTGTCTTTACATATGCTAGTTTCTCTGCCTGGGTCATGCCCTTTTCCCTCCCTCACTTGACTGGCTTCTCATGGTCCCCATCTTCCTAAAAGAAAATGTAATTTCCTTCAGTGAAACCTTTCTAGCATATCTAATTAAAGTTGGTTTTCTCTAATAGCCATTCCAAAAGCAGTTTTAAATCTTTATTTCTTTCAGTCTATCATAAAACCTAGCACAATTTGTTACATGCCCATTTGGGTGTTACAGATTGAGGCTCACCTCCCTCCTTGGACTACAGACTCCATAAGGATAAGGTCCACCTCATTTTTGTTCAACATGGTATAGAGTATTTGACACAATGTTTCAAGCATAGAAAATGTCAAATATGTGCTTAATGTTGTTTAAGTGAATGTATGAATAAAGATTGCCTGGAATTGAGTCCACTCAGCACTCTGAAGGTTCTAGAATATCTAGATTAAATCAGAACCAAAGAGATTAGCACTGGTATTGACCCCCCCCATAGATTTTTAAGCATTTACTAAATAGAAATTACAGGTATTTCCTTACTCTATACTAAAATCAGAGACTGAAGAGTTCCAGAAACACCCAAAAACTGTGTTTTCTGAGAATGTGATTAATGACGCCACTCAAGGCCCTCACTCTAAGAGCTCTCTAACGATAGATAGTTCTTCTTCTTCATATCACAAGTGGTTTTATTTCTAGGAACACTTAACTAGCTTCTAGGGTAATTTATGCATATACTGTGTACTGTGTAACTAAGCGTGCTTATCTCTCACATAGACTATCAGAAAGCTTAGAGTTGAATTTATGACCCACATGTGATAAGAGAATAAGAATTCATGCAGGTAAAAAGGTTATTTCCAGTCTATTTCTTGTCATTTTCTTATCTTTTTTCTACATTCAATCATTGTATATCATTACAGCATATAAAATGAATTTTCCCAGAACAAATGCACTGTATTTTAGTTTAGTCAAAGATATTACCAAACATGCTACCATCAACAGATAATTTTCCATTTTTCTATCCTCTAAATGCTTTTATTCTTTCTTTCCCCCCTTGATTCCCTTCCTCTTACCCTCCCTGTTTATTTATTTATTTTTTTTTTTTTTGAGAGAGAGATTTTCGCTATAGGGCGCGTGCGCTCGCCAGACAGAGAGACATAGAGACAGAAAGTGAGAAATCACCCCCCAGGGGGGATGGTCACGCCACAATCCCTTCTCCTCCATTCTCCTCTCGGGATCTTGGGCACGCACGCACATGTGCCCAGCGTGAGTTTTAAGCCACCGGGATGTGAACCGCAGTCGACTACGTGGGAGTCCAGCGACGTAGCCATCACGCTAACTGCTGGTTCCCGTTCCCTGTTTATTTTTTATTTTTATCTCTGTTTTCCTTTCTGCTTTTACTTTCCTACCTATACTTTGTAGTATTTGTATTTATGGTATTCAAAATATATTAGAAAATTTTGGAAACAGTGTGTGTGAGACCTTTGTCAGACACTGTGAGAAAGAGTATAAATTTAGATATTCTTTGAAACCAAAGAGCATACTTTTCCTATTATTAAACTGTATATTGAGCATTATTGTAGAAACACTACTCTAGTGACCTGTGAATGGTGTACTACAGTAGAGGAGGGAAAACAGACTAATGTTAGGAAGACCATATTGGATTCTGGTATTTTGAGTAAAGTAAAAAGTGATGAATAGGTGCCAGAAGGTGGCATGATGATTAGGGCACCGACTTCCACTTGGTAAACCGTGGTTTGAGTCCTGGACCTGGTGGCTTGTGTTCTCACCTTCCCTTTCTCCTTTCTCTCTCTGGTCAAATTAAAAAATAATAATTAATTAATTTAATTAATAATTCTATTTAAAAAGTGATGTGTGTTTAAAATATTGTGGTAAGAAAGGAGTTGGTTCCCAGTTGACTGGTGAATCTAGGAGTCTGTTTAGAAAAAAACAATGGGCTTCAAAGATATAGATATGAGGAGGGAATCAGATATCAACTCTCATGGTACCTTGCAGATAGCTAAAAATAGTAATCTGTTGATTGAATTGGTAACAGAATGACTCACTGTGACACGCTAGATTAGAAGAGATGATGAGTCATATGAATGGAGACACATTTCTGCCATTTCTTACTCTGTACATGCTTTTCCATCTTATTGCCTATAGGAATTTAGTTTTTTCCATTTATTCCTTACCAAGGACTCTACCCACTCACATCTCATTTGGTTTTCCAAGCTTGAGTGGAAAATGAATTTGAGTTTACTATTGTCTTCTTCTTTTGCCTAAGATAAACACCCTTTTGAATTATAAAATTTCATAATTATCTATTTGATAAGCATTGCTTATATACCTACTGTATTTTAAGACCTATACTTGATTCTGTGTAGAAATAAATAGGAGCAGCCAAACAAAAATCTAGAACCTCACAGAGTCATCACAGTAGTCATTCCCTGCCCTTCTGTGATGTATATTTAAACTACATGTTGTATAAATCTGAAAAAAACTCAGATTCCCTAGATACAGCTTTATAATGAAAATGTGATGCCCATCATTTTGACATTTTTAATAGCAGTTTTACAATCAACTTAAAGGAATCATAAGAAATTTCATAAGCTCTTACTTCCAGAAGTTAAGAGAAAAATGTTTATTATTTCCTAGACTCAGAATTTATTAGAATGACTGAGCAGACTTCTGCCAGCATAAGAAAGCAAAACTTCAGTTCCGACTAATAATAGATCTTTTTGTCTGTCCTTTCCCAGATTTAAGGTATAATCATTGGAATTGCTTTGGAAAGAGCAGAAGAATGACTTTGCTTCGGATCTGCTTGGTCTTCACACCATAGACAATAGGGTTGAGTGCAGGTGGGATGATCACATAGAGGTTGGCAAACATAATGTGAAAGGTGCGAGGGACATTGTGCCCAAAGCGATGGGCAAGAATGGAGAAGAACGCTGGTATATAAAACATGAGGATGACACAGACATGGGACCCACAGGTGCCGAGGGCTTTTTGGCGAGCTTCTTGGGAGGGGAGGCGAAAGACAGCACAGAGGATGAGAGTGTAGGAGATAGCAATTAGAATTACATCAGTTATCACTGTCATGATGGGAACACAAAAACCATACCAGATATTGAGGGAGATATCAGCACAGGCAAGCCGGGCGACACCTATGTGCTCACAGTACGTGTGGGGTATAACATGGGTACTGCAGAAAGGCAGACGGTTCACAAGAAAAACACATGGGACGAAAACACAGAAACTTCGGAAAGAGATTCCCACAGCAAGTTTGACAATAGTTTTGGGAGTTAAAATAGTAGTATATCTCAAGGGTGAACAAATGGCCACATAGCGGTCAAACGCCATGGCCAGCAGTATGGCTGAGTCCAGGACAAAGCTGTAGTGCAAAAAGAATAACTGGGTGAGACAGCCAGGAAAGGTGATTTTCTGGGGTCCAAACCAGAATATGCTAAGGGCTTTGGGTACACATGTGGTAGACAATATGAGGTCAGTAACAGCCAACATGGAAAGAAAAAAGAACATAGGTGCATGAAGACTATGCTCCACTGCAATAAGGTAAAGAAGGACACTATTGCCCACAACTGCCACAAGATAGATCAAACCAAAGGGGATGCTGATCCAGGCATGGTACTGCTCAAGTCCAGGGATACCCAGAAGTGTGAAGGGTCCTGTGTTATAGCTACTCAGGTTGTACGTGGCCATTGAGATCTGATGAATAGCGTCTGTGTCCTAAAAACAAATTGTGTATGATGAGCATGGAAAATTGTATGGTAACTTTTCCCCCACCCCTTCCTCAGGGCTGGCTCTGCTCTTTTCTGTATTCCAAGAAAGATTCTCCCGTTGCCACCAAGAGTTGTGCTCACCACATCAAGAAAGATTCCCCAAACCCTGTGCTCCTAGTACTAAACAGTTACTCTGGAATATTCTCTAAACTGCATAAACTATTCTTTCCATTTTGAATGACTATATTGTTCCCAGGTCAATTTGATTCGTTGCTGTGTAGATGTGAGTATAAAGTAAAGGAGTCCAACTACACTCAGGGATAAAAAGAAACTAAGAAAAGTAGGTCCTAGTTGAGGAAATGAGATCATTAACAGTCATAGATTCCTGACATGCTTCAGGCTCTTATAAAGTATTACCTCATTTAAAATAATTTTCTGAGATGACCTAGTGGCCCAGTAGTCAAAGGAGTTAGAACCACATGGCTGAACTTATGGTTTAAATCCCATCCTGGCAGCTGGAAAATCACACTAGGCACATATATGTGCATGCGTGCCCCAAATCCTGACAGGGTAGAGAAATGGGAGAGACTGGACTGTGGTGTGTCCATGCCCCAATGACTTTTTTCTCTGTGTGTTTCGTTGTCTCTTTCTGGAGAGTGAGCATATCGTCTGGTAAAGTGAAAGAAAACTAAATACATTAATTAAAATGAAAGAACCTGCTGAAATATGTATTTTTATCCTCTTCATTACTTGTTTTACAGAAAATTAAATGCTGAGAAGTGATCTTACCTAAAATCTTAACTCTAATAACCGACAAAGTCAAAATCATTAGATTTTGCAACAAATTCTTTTTCATGCTGTTGCCCCAAATCTGGTGCTGCCTCAATACACTATGAGATACCTAAAGTTCAGGAGAGGAATGGAACTGTAGAGAAGGATGTTAAAGAAAGAAAGAAAGAAAGAAAGAAAGAAAGAAAGAAAGAAAGAAAGAAAGAAACAAAGAAAGAAAGAAAGAAAGAAAGAAAGAAAGAAAGAAGAAAGAAAAGAGAAAGAAAAGAAAGAGAAAAGAAAAGAAGAAAAGAAAAGAAAAGAAAAGAAAAGAAAAGAAAAGAAAAGAAAAGAAAAGAAAAGAAAAGAAAAGGAAAAACCAAGACCACCTGAAACGTAATTCTTTCAACACATCAACCACCTTAATGTCATAACAGTCCTTTTATCCCTACACTAGCTATACAGCCTCTGGGCTGTGGACCAGAATGTTCTTTGAGACCATGATGCTTGATACCTCACCGTGGAGAATGATATGAGGAAGGATGGGAAGCTCAGTATTCAGTCCTCTTGTAGGAATTAATGAGGCAATCTTGCTTAAGAATTAGAGAAAACTGGCCCAAGTATGTTTTTCATAAATGTAGAGCGACCTCTAGTGGGAAAAAATAGAATTTATATATTCCAAATTCTGAGTAAAAAAGCAAATAAGCAAACTTTATAACAAGGGCTAATATTAAAAAAATGAAAGAAAGAAAAAGAAAAGAAAAAAACTTGAATATACTACACAAATACAAAGGTGTTTATATGTTTATATGTAATATACTTTTGTAATTCTCTTTACAGTCCTGTGAGGCAGGTAATAATAGTATTCACATTTTTCAAATGCAGAATAAAAACAGAGAAAAGAAACTTGTTCAAAGGTTACACGAGAAAATGGTGGAGGTAGGAATCAAATCCAAAGAGTCTTTTCCTAGACTCCCAGGTATGTAGCAAAAGCTCTCTATAGAACCAATAAAATATGTTGATCCTGTAGTACAATGCTTAAAAAATGCTGTGTGTTTAAAGCTGGATCTCACAAAAGCAATCGCAATTGAGATCCCAGCTCCAGGAGCTAAAAAAACATGCTGGGTTCGTGTATATGCCCCAATTCCTGACAGGACAGAAAAATGGAATAAAAATACTGCAGCATGACCACATCTCATTGTGAGGGAGGGGAATTAAGGGCACATGGCCGACTGCAGTTCTAATCCTACACCTGCTGGCTTGCTTTCTTGCTTTCTCTCTCGCTCTCTTGCTCTGTTCCTTTCTGGTAAAAATTTAAATACATAAATAAATAAATACAATAATTTTTTAAGCAGTTAACTTTAAATTTAAAGACAAAAAGTCTAGCAAAATGGAATTCAACAAAAGTAAACTTTAATTTAGAAAGCATGAAATAGGACAAAAGGTGCTTAGTACTGTAAGAAATACTCTTTAATGAAAGTGTAAGTTATACCACTTGCTGACATCTCTTCTCAGCACCTTCTTATTTAAATAAAAATTAGATAGTCATAGTCTATTCATTTACTGACTTTTTCCTATTTTCTTGTTAGTGTCCACAGTTCTCTTTATAATTCCTCTTGAATCTGAAGACATATCTCTAACTATTAACTGCAGCAAGTTTAACATTCCTGTAACTCACCTACCCTAACCTTTATCTTTAAAGGATAGCTTTCTATTTTTACTGAACCACAATCACCACATTCCAGGGCTATGTCTTTGAAATGCTATAACCCAGAATTGATCAACCCCATGATAGTCAAAGTTAGATATTCCACATTACATATGTTCAATTAGGAGACTCAATTGCTACCAATTTGTTTTTCAAAAACCAGTGGCCTCTAGGAAATTGACTTTCTAGTACCACTTATTCAGCACTCAGGTGTTTTTATATTTATATTTATATGTTATATTTATATTCTTCTCACTCAAGGTTGAATTCTGTGGCTCATCATTCCAATCTATTTCTTACTAATATTTGGCTGCCTCCACTGACCTTCCATCACATACATATGTCAGTCTATGCCTAGAATAATCAACCAAATCAATACTCTAGTGCTCTTTGTTTTTTTAAGAGAGATTTTTGCTATAGGTGCACATGCTTGCTGGAGAGACAGAGAGAGAGAGATAGAGACAGAAAGCAAGAAATTACTCTCCAGGGAGTTGGTCATATGGCAATCGCTTCTCCTTTACTCTCCTCTTGGGATTTTGGGCAGGCACATACATGATCCTGGTGTGAGTTTTAAGTCCCCGGGTCCAGGAATCGAACCAGGGTCAACTACATGGAAGTACAGCAACATAACCATAACACCATTTGTTGCTCCCCTAATTAGTACTCTTAAGTATGGAATTCCCCTTGCATAGCTGAGGCTGAAAACAAACCTGTACCCTCTATCCTAAGTCCTCCTACCTTAGCAGATATGTTTTACTATCATTCTTTTTTTTTAATGATGTTTGTCTTTAACCTAACCTTTTTACAATTTTACCCCTTCAACATTTAAGCAATTTAAATTTATTCAAACATCTCCCAATCTAAGAGTCAAGTGTGGTAGCACAGTTGTAAGGCTAAGGCAGGAGAATTGTGACACAGTGAGACCCCACTTTAATGTACGTATATGCACACACACAGACACACACTCACTCATGCAATCTCGCAGTTTAAATAAGAAAGAAATAGCTCCATTTGTTCATAGCTCACTAGGCAGTTGATACAGTAATTATCTCTATTTTTTTTTCATCTCCTCCTTATCCTTAATCCATTCAACACTATCTGTCCTCACTAGCCCACTGCGGTAGCTCTCACTTAGCTCTCCAGGGACACCCATGGCCCACCCTTTGTCCTTTGACTTCTCAGCAGAATTTGATACTATTGACCATACCTCTCCATAGCAACCCTTTCTCTTAGCTTAATGTTAAATTACAATACTCCGAGTTTTTCTTTAACTTCACTAATGTTCCATCTCAGCAGTTGCCTATTCTCATTCTGTCTCTTACATCCTCATATTTCTCCAGGCTCTGCCTAAATCCCCCTTTTCTTCTCTCCACACGTTTTCTGGTCTATGTCATCTACTCCTAGTTCCCAGCTTAATAGCTGCAAATCGATCTACCCCGATTCCTTATCTTTTATTTAGATCTTGCAAGACACACATATACGACTGCACCCTTGATATTCTCCTTTGGGTAGTTCATCAGTACCTCAAATTCTTTTTTTTTTCAAAAATTAAAATACTCATCACATTTTCTCATAAACCTGCTTCCCCATTCTCTGTTCAATATTTCAGAGAATCACAGCATCATCTACTAAATGATCCAGAGCAAAAATTCAAAATCTTAAAATTCATCATTTATTCCCGCCTCTCTCTCTAAAGAACCACATGCAGTAAATTATATTGATTCAATCCTTTTTTAAATTAAAAATCTTAAAAGATTCTTAATACGGTTTCAAAATGTCTTACTACCTCGTCAGGGTTTTTGACACATTCCAAGAATGTTTAACAGAAGGGAGCCTACATTTTCTAAAAATAAAAGTTTACAACAATTTCCTTATAAAAGATCATGGTCAATCTCCCTATCACATCCAGGTATTCTGAGTTATCACGCATTGGACTCTGCACTTCTCTCTCTCTCTTTTTCAAGTTTAATTCATAAAAAATGAGAGGCAGAGAGAGAGAGAGAGCAAGACAATCAGCCTCAGTAAGGCCTCATGCCACAACCTCTGCCCTCCTTCCTCAGCCTTCCCAGCCAGCCAGGATCATAGATGCACCTCGTGTGTACAGGTCAGCCAGGAACAGAACTCTGGATCTTCCATATGGATCCAGCTTCACTTGAGAAGGATATTACTACTGTGCCACCAAGTAAGCCCCTATTACTGGATGTCTCTTACCAAGGGTTGTGAAAAAACAAAAATCTAAGCAGATAATATGTGTGATTCTCAATACCATGAAGTAGCACATGTTCCTTTAATTCCAAAGTCGCTTGATTATGAAACTATGCACATACTTCCCCCCCTTGATTTTTCTTTTTTTTTTTTTTTAGAGAGGTTTTTGCTATAGGGCACGTGCGCTCGCCAGACAGAGAGAGAGACAGAGAGATAGAAAGCGAGAAATCACCCCCAGGGGGGATGGTCACGCCGCAATCCCTTCTCCTCCATTCTCCTCTCGAGATCTTGGGCACGCATGCACACGCGCTCGGCGTGAGTTTTAAGCCACCGGGTCCAGGACACGAACTGTGGTCGACTACGTGGGAGTCCAGCGACATAGCCATTACGCTAACTGCTGGCCCCTCCCCCCCTTTGATTTTGAACAACTGTTTTCATCCCTTCTCCTACTTCCAAATAAAGCCAACTTCTACTTGTTTAAGTCTTAGTTAAACTTCCTTTCATTCAGCTTAATCTTTACCTCCCTGGGAATAGTTTCCTGATTTCTATAGCAGAAATTCATATTCCATGTTTTCTGAAACTCACCAAGCTTACAGTAACTTGTGTAATATTTATTTTCCTTCCTAAACTGCAATCTCCCTAAAGGCAAAGATCATGGCAATTTTATTTTTTATTTTGATAATACCCTCAATGCTGACACATTGGTGGCACTTAACACCTGTTCAATAACATTTCTAAATTGAATATAATCAATAAGGCCAGAAAAAAAATAATATTCTACTTAAATCTGAAAATACAAACAAGTTCATCAAATACGTGTTACTACATAAGTAAAGCAAAATAAATCTATATAAACTGGCAGCCATTAATAGGAAATTTCTGAAAACATTTCCATTAAAGGTAAAAATAAAGTTATAACTATCATTTTTATTAACACTGCTCAAAAAATTCTCATGAGTGATATAAGAAGTTTTTAGGACTGCTGATTTTTATCATGCCTTTTATCTCACCTTAGGTAAAAATACTAAAAATCTTTTTTTAACTCTCAAGACTAAATTAAGTGTCCCACTTGTACACAGCTACAAAAATTATATATTTATGTGCTAAGGTAGCACTTATCATGGTTTATTCCATTTATTTCCCTGCCTTCTATCATTTTGATATTAATACATATCCATATTTGTAGTTTTATATCCTCATTCTAGTTTCTGCAAAATAATAAATTTTACTGAATAAGTGAATAATGTTGGCATATAAGCTCTTGCTCGATATGAAACCTATTTACATTTTTAGACACATCCCTTCCATCCCACATCTATTTTTTAGTATTTATGTTCTACTGAAGTTCATTTGAATGAGTGGGTAAAATAATGAATGAATGAAAGAATTAATTTTAAAAATACAACACAATTGCGCATAAACCCAGGCATACCTGGACGCACAGGCAGAGTTTATACATTCAGATAACAGCTTAAAACCCAAGCTTTATAGTCAAATATCTTGGATTTGCATTTGGTCTGTGTCTCTTACTTGCATTATACTGTACAAATTATTTGTCTCTCTAAACTGCCTATTTTTCTCATAAATTTTGTTTAGAGATTACATGAAAAGATACTCAGTCACAGTGCCTAGAAAATTTTAAACTCTCTATAAATAGTATTTTCTAATATCATTACTATTACAAATACAAATGTTGGATGGCAGAAGCCCATGGGATGGCAGAAAATTGCAAATTACTTAGAAACCACAATCACAATCTAGTCTTCAGGATTAAATTCTCAGATCTTTTCATTTTGGCTGTCAAAGTGCATCCTCCATATGACCTTAGCCCTGCCTGCTCCTTTGCACCATTTAGGCATAGTCATTCTAACATCTCAGACTTTACAAAACCTGGTCGCCAAGCACGTGGGCCTCATTTCACAGGGAAAACGGAACAGAACCCACCACTGCCTTCCTTAGCCCCTCCAGAACCTGAGTTCTGCCCTTGGTTTCCCAGCTCTGCCTGTTCTGCCCCCAAACACTCACCAAACCAAACCCTAAGCCCTTGATGGGAACTGAGGGATAACCCAAAACGAGACACCCTGGAGAGACCAGATCTCTTATTAACTCTTCTTGGACCTCTGGAGAGGACACTCAGAGCTTGTAGTCCCTGGAGAACCACAGACACAAAACAAATCACTAAGCTGTAGATTACACAGTGGGCACTTCCCAGGGCTCTAGATCCTAAAGTACTGAGGTCCCTAAGGCTGGAGTTAGACTGAGTCCCAGCAAGCACACATCTTCCAAGACAGGCAGTGTCCTAAGAGAGCAGAATTCCTGGAGGCTTTCAAAATGGTAAGTGCTCTCTCCACTGTGGCTAGAACAATTACGGGGAAATCTGTTTGATATGTGTGTATTTGCAAGAACTTGAATATCTCTGGGTGCTATTTTCTTGTGTGTGTGTGTGTGTGTGTGTGTGTGTGTGTGTGTGTGTTGTGTGTGTGTGTATGCCTTTACATCTGAAAAAACAGCTACCTCTCTTCATCTTTATGGACTAACTTCGTAGAGGAGAAGTGCTTTTCCCAGAAGTTCAAGTAGAAATTCAATAAGACTGAAAAGTTTTAATGGAAGTATATCTTCTCCGGATTTGCAAGTGTAACTTTTTTTTTTTTTTGGAGAGGTTTGGGTTTTTTTGTTTGTTTCTGTTTTGGGGTGCTATTTTCTTTATGCTATACATTTTCAACCATTTGTGTAAGCATGTGTAATAGTTATTTTAGAATACACATGGGCAGGAGGGAGGAGGGATATAAGTTCTTTCTACTACAAGTCTACAAAAATTAGAGAATGCTCTGTTTATCACAAATCAATAATATTGATCAAGCAGTTGAATTTTCACTGAAACTCAACACATAGGCTGCTCCATAGCTTAGTAGTTAAGGAAGCCAGATTCCACATGACCAACCAGTTCAAATCCCAGACCCGGTGGCTTGAAAAACATGCTAGGCATGTGTACATGTCTACCCTCAATTTTTTTTTCAAGAGAGATTATGCTATAGGGTGCATGTGCTCACTGGAGAGAAAGAGACAGAAAGCAAGAAATCACCCCCAAAGAGGGATGGTCACACCACAATCTCTTTTTCTCTATTTTCTTCTTGGGACTTTGGGCATGCATATACATACACCCTGCATGAGTTTTAAGCCACCAAGCCTGTAACTTGAACTGCAGTTGACTACGTGGGAGTCCAGCAATGTAACCATCAGGCCATCTGTTGGTTGTCATGTATACCCCAAATTTTAATGGGAGAGAAAAATGGAGATGAGATTTTGATGTTACTATGCCCCATTAGGGTACTTTCTTACTCTCTTTTTTTCAGTCTGTTACCGATAAATGCACACACTCTCTGGAAATCAAAAAAAGAAGAAGAAAAAGAAGAAGAAGAAGAAAGAAAGAGAAATAAAGCTCTTTACATATACACATGTAAGTGCTGTCAATTTTTACTTAAAAATATCTTTAGAAGCACTTTCCTGCTTTTGTCACTTCTGTGTAGTCTCCTGTCATTTCTGCTACTGGGCCCATATTTGTCTAAATATTTCAATTCCATCCTCTCTTCTAAAGTTATAATACTATTTCTAAAATAGAAACAGGAACATTATTTCTTCAGGTTCATAAAGTCTTTAGGATAAAACAAATCTGCATTAGCATAACACACAAGATCTAGCATCTCAGTTTCATCTCTTGCATTCTCTATCCATAGGTACATCCTAAATTCTAGATTCTAAATTAGCAAAGCTCCAAATAACATTATAATTTTTCAAGCATCAATTCTCCATGTTTGTTATTTCTTCTTTCAGAAACATCCTTTGTATTTTTTTCTGCTTGACTCAGCTTAACACGTACCTACTTGGAAACCATTTATCATACATCCGTGTATTTACCCCTGCCCTAGTATTTACCACAACACGTTGTGACTGCTTTATGAACAGCACAGTGCCATGCTCTTACAAGAACTCACAGTGAGTGAGTAAAAGTGTTCTTTTTCTATCTCTTCCTAATGAGCTAATGTTATGTACAATTTTACCTATCTTTAACTGTACCAATGATCGATATCCACAGATTTTTTTCAGATGTAAGCTCTTATCTCCCCCAGTCTCTATATGGAAATTAAAGATTCTTCTTTCATTGACTATGTTAAAATGATCTTTGTTAACTTATGAGATCTTTTGTTGTCTGATTTTTAATTAATATATTTTTCTTTCTAGCTCTCTGCTTCTACTTTCAGAATCAAAAAGAATTCCTGGAGCTAAAGAATACATTTCAAGAAATCAGAACTTCTCTTGAAAGTATTAAAAGCAGATTAGACCTTGTAGAAGAATCTCTGGTCTTGAAAACAAAACTTCCTACACACTCTAGATAACTGGAAATAAAAATCCAGAAGAATAGCAATTAAAAATGAGAACAGCAGGGAACCAGCAGTTAGCGTAATGGCTATGTCGCTGGACTCCCACGTAGTCGACCGCGGTTCGCGTCTCGGACCTGGTGGCTTAAATCTCACGCCGGGCGCGTGTGCGTGCGTGCCCAAGATCCCGAGAGGAGAATGGAGGAGAAGGGATTGCGGCATGACCATCCCCCCTGGGGTGTGATTTCTCGCTTTCTGTCTCTATGTCTCTCTCTGTCTGTCTGGCGAGCGCACGTGCCCTATAGCGAAAACCTCTCAAAAAAAAAAAAAAATGAGAACAGCATACAGGAAATCCTACATACCAATAAATGACTGGATAGCTACGTAATATTTATTCTAGAAGGTGAAGAGACAGATAAAGACTTAGAAAACATTTTTCATAATATATTAGCCGAAAACCTTTCAAATTTAGAGAGACACGTGAGCATCCATATCCAGAAAATAAGAAGGACACCAAATAGATAAGATCTTTTGTGACCAGCAGGTGGCATAGTGGTTAAGACACTGGACTCCCAGGTGGTCAGCCATAGTCCAAGTCCTGGACCCAGTGACTCGAAACATATGTTGGGCGTGTGTTTGTGCTTGCTCAAATCCTGAGAAGAGAATGAAGAAGAGATTGCAGCATGGCCATCCCCTCTGTCCCCTCTGGCTGTAGGGGTAGTGGTGGTGGGGGGTGATTTCTTGCTTTCTGTCTCTTTGTCTCTTCAGTGAGTACATGCAACCTATAGTAAAAATCTCAAATAAATAAATAAATAAAAAGCTCTTCTCCAAGGCATAATGGTAAAAATCAAAGACGAAGACAATATTCTAAAAATGGCAAGAGAGAAATATCAAGTAACTTACAAAGGTTACTTCATTAGGCTAACATAGGATCTCTCAGCTGAAACAATGCAGGCAAGGGTGGGAAGACATATTTAAAACTCTGAAAGAAGTAATTTTAGCCAAGCTCTTCAGAAGATTTTTAAGGGACTATTATACCAAGAAAACTAGGAAGAGAAAAATAGAAGGAAACACAAAACAACTAGAAAAAAAGGATAAGTACATACATATTGATAATAACATTAAAAGTTGGGACAAAATTTTCTAACTAAAAGGCTACAAAAATTGATTTAACTGTGTTATACACAAATTCAGCAAGTATTTGTTGTCTCCACAGGTTTCAATTTATGTATTTATTATAAGCATTATTCATTGTATAAAACTAAATAATAGAGAAAAAATCCAGAAATGTTACAAAATTCTTTGGAAGGAATTTAAAAAGACTAAAGTCCAGAACTTTGTAAAACCTATACATCACCATTTCACTGACTTTATTACTATGTCTTCACTTTTAAACATCCCTTTCCAATTTTGCTTTGTTTTTGCTTTTTCAAAGATTTACTTCTTTATGCACAGCACAGTATCATTCACCTAGTTGCATTGTATACGCCACAAACCAGAAGTATAACCAGATGAAGAGTATGTGCCCGTCTCAGTTTGCTATTCAATCCTTTATACATTCATCCAAACACAATTTGGGGGGGGGGAATCTGTAGGACAGTATAGGTGATGGGTTAAGGTGAAAGGTCTTGAGGTCAGAAACTACTTGCAGTGATATACCAGTCTCACCTGTCCTTTTTGTGTGAAATTGGGAAATTTATGTAACCACCCCAAGATTCCATTTATGTGCATAGAAATCCAGCCTTTCTCAAGGGTTGAGGACTGATGTGATGTCATATGTAATATACTTTACACATTGTTCGGTATGTTACACAGTGATCAATTTTTTTAATTATTTTATTTTCTTTTACTGTGCAACAGGCACTACAGATGAAGATATAACTAAGGCTTTTTCTTTTTTTAAACTGTCCTCAAAGAGATCACAAATTAATGGGGAAAATACACAAGGAAGCTGGCCACTCCACTGCTGAGTGATAAAAGATGTACCTATAAAAACCACAAGGAGGGGCCAGCACATGGCGGGGTGGTTACGTCTCTCCACTCCCAGGGGGATTTCTCACTCTCCTCTGACTGTCTCTGTCTCTCTCCAGCAAGCGCATGCGCCCTATGGCAAAAACCTAAAATAAAAAGTACAAGGAGAGAGGCTGTAAATGGCGTGGTGATTCAGGTGCTAGATCCCACATGGCCAACCCACAGTTCAAGTCATGGACCGGAGGCTTGTAGAACACACCAGGCATGTGTGTGTGTGTGCCCCAAATCCCAATATAAAAAGGAGAAGAAACTGTGGCATGGGCATACCCCCAGTGGATGATTTCTCACTTTCCATCTCTCTCTGTCTCTAGTGAGTGCACACACTCTATGGTAAAAACTTGAAAAAAAAATGGGACCAGTAGATGACTTAATGGTTATGTCACTGGATTCCTACTCAGTCAACTGCAGTCCAAGTCCTGGACCCAGTAGCTTAAAACTCACACTCTGTGTGTGTGTGTGTACCTAAAATCCCAAGAGGAGACTGGAGGAGAAGGAATTGCAGCATGGTCATCCCCCCAGGGGAGTGATTTCTAGCTTTCTGTCTGTCTGTATCTCTCTCTAGCGAGCGAAGACCCCTATAAGACACACACACACATAAATAAAAGAAAGAAGGAAAGAAAGAAAAAGAAAGAAAGAAAGAAAGAAAGAAAGAAAGAAAGAAAGAAAGAAAGAAAGAAAGAAAGAAAGAAAAAGAAAAGAAATCAAGGCGCTATGTGGGCAGAGAGCAGAGTAGTGCTGATAAAATTAGGGGAGAGGACAGGATTGTCAAAAATATTACACTGGAGCTGGGCTTTGAAGGAAACATAGGTGTTTTCAAGGCAAATGATGGAAATAGGAATATGCAAGGCTGAGAGAGCATTATTTCAAATGCAAAAGAGCAAGTGGAGACATTACGAGATGCAGGGAAAAGTACACACCCTCAAATGGGCAGAACCTTAGATGTGGGTGAGGCTGAGAGGAGAGAAGACCAGAAGAGTTTGGAAAAGTGAACATGGCCTGTACCCTATGATGCAGAACTGGAGTCCTAATCTAAAGTCTAAGAGTGAGAAGAGCTGAACAAAGGTTTTACTTAGGAGTGTGACAAAATCAAATTGACACACTGAAAACCTCGTTTCAGCTGTGATGTAGAGTGTATGCAGCAATAAATGAGATACAATTAGAATGAAATTTTAGAGGCACCAAAATTAGCTGAAGAACTTTCACCATAATCCTGGCAGAGATGAGACATGCTGAGATGATATTGAAATGAATTAAACAACACTCCCTCCAGACTGGTACTAGGGGTTGGTCAGTGAGGTGCCTGGGTGCAATACATATGGAAGGAATTACTTTCAGAGCCTTAAGTGTTTCCTTTAATGTTGTGTCTTAGGCACTTTTGTGGGACTCACTGCTCAATACAAGGACAATCAAGGTGGTTTTTTGATTAAGCAGTAAAAGAGTTAAGTAATTTCTTCACTTCCTTGTCTTTGTCTGCACTTTAACTGAAGACAGAGCCAAGGACCAAGTCCCAAAGGTCACCCTCTTGGGACTTTCCAGAAGAGCAATAAATGCTCCTAGGAACACCCTCCATTCTGTGCAGTGGGGAGTCTCCCACCTGCAGTAGAAGACATGGATGGAAGTGAATGAGTGAGACCGCACAGGTAGCAGGCAGAACATTCGTGGTGAACTTACACACACAGACATTTTAGGATTTAGTGTGATCTCCTAGACGTCAAGAAACAGTTTTGTTGTGTCTGCTCTAGCCAAGTGAGCTGGAAATAAAGTAAGTGACTTTATTTTAGAGTGTACATTTTTGACTATCCTTCCCCATGACTTTGATTCTCTGAATCTGCATTTCTCTCCTGGTTCCACTGCAGTAATTTCTCCCCAAGTTTAGGTTTAGCCATTTTTACCCTTCCCCAAAAATAATGCCCACCTCTGTACCTTGCTCTCTGAGCTTTCCCAGATGACATTTTGCACATGTGATTGTCTAAGTCTAGTTCTCTACTTAAAGGTGTTTGCATGCTAACACCAGCATTTAGGACTCCCAAAATGAGACAGGTTTTTAATAGGATCTACGTCAAAAGAGGGCTTTAATCTTTTAACCCAAGATAAAACACCAAATCTGAGATGTTTCTTGGTAAAGAACCTGTAAAAATGTAACTCTTGATACGTTAGAGAAGACAGGGATTCTATGGGCTCAAATCTTACTTTCTGTGAGTGGCGTGATTTTGACCTGGACTTCATTACCAGTCTATGAAGTCTGTACTCACCCATTTAGCTTATCCCATTTTAAAATCTTGAAATACCACATCAGAGATGATAATTTGCCTAACCAATTGACCCTTGTTAAAATGAAAAAAATACCTTGGTTCTTAATTTTAAGAATATTAGGAAAATGTTTTATCGTGAATTAAATGACAAGTACATATTGTTCCACACACATAGCTATCCTTTGGTAAATGCAATCGCTATTCTTTCTCATGTCAACTATGTCACTAATTAATATTTCAAGAGATAGTAATCAATGCTTGACTTCCTGACTTATTTTAAAAATCAAAGAACCACTCCAGATACATTATGAACCTTGAACTGGTCCAGCAAAAAACTAGATTCTTAGGGAGGAGAGAAGATACTGAGTAAACTCCTCTAAAGGTTGAGATAGAAATTAAGTTACTTGCAATAAAAGTCCAAAATTGTAGCATTCTTATCAACAACAAAATGAACTTTGTCAAATTGCTGTCATATAGTTGGTAATCATAAAATAATATCATATTTTCCATATAATAGAAATATAGAACTGCTCAGATAAAACAAAATAAAGTAAAATCACCCATTAGTTCACTTCCTGGATATAACAATATTTAATATTCCATGTTTTGTCTCCTGGACATCTCATCTGTGTATGTATATGTGTATATGTCATTGCTGTTGCTCAATAGTGACAACATACATAAACACTTTTAAACCTCTTCTTTTTTAATTTAATAATAAAAGGTAAATAATATATGATGACTATTTTGTAAGTAAAAATAGTTCAGCCATAACTGTGTATA